GAAGCTCTATTTGAACGACCATTGTTTCATTAGCTTGAGAGATTGAATGCAATTTGAGGATACCACGAGGATGAGCTTTTCCGCGAGCCTGGGCTTATCGGGCTTTAAGATCGCATTATCATCGTTGTTACCTGCAAACGCAAACGAACCAAAAGATTGTTTTTCGTTGCAACGCCATGCAATTGTAATGACTGTTCCGTAGAATTTATACTTTGATCTGTTTTATCTACAGCATAAATGCTCAAGGAACCAAAAAGTGCTCAATCCCGCTGTAAGGGTGACTTCTGAGAATCCCTACACAAGAGATCAAGAATTTCCTTTAGCTGAAACTAGGGTGGCAGCAGAAGTAGTGTGCAGCTTCGTCCAAATTGACTGAAACACGGTGGTCCCGCCACGGGTACCCTGTAAATGGCGGCACGATACTGTAGTTGAAAGTTGCAACGACTGCCAAATCTGTTCTGTGTGAGATGATTCGGCTGTAGAAGCTAATAGCACTACCAAACCTCAGAGGTCTAATTTTCAAATTGTCGTTTTTCTCAATCATCTAGCCTGAATTCTTAGTTACCTTTGTGATTTCTAGAAGGCAAACCACCAGAATTTGTATATTTATGGCGCGATTGAAAAGGCGTGAGGCAATCTTGTAATCGACTATCCGTCTGCCACGGTGGGGCGTTCTTCAAGGGTGTGCGGCCCTTTGTGAGCTTTGAAGGATATCACTAATCATAAATGTACGTTTTTTTTTGAAATTTATGGAAAAGTAATACACAAAATTTTGCTGTCTTGCGTCGCTAAAGTTCAATTTGAGAAAGAGAAGGCAGAGTGAGTTGTCAATGTGGCTTTTCTATCCCAAGACTGCCCTTTTAAAAGTGTTCACTATAATGGAGCAGATATTCTCACATATCTTTTCAACTTATTATATGTCCTTTATATAATTGGCTCGAGAGCTTGCGGATGTTTGAGAGTGAGGAAGTGTTCATGGAAATGTGCAAGTATGACATTGATAAGTCAAGTAATAAATCTCCAAAGAATCTTTTACCGGTTGCCACGGAAGAGCGCAAAAAGGGAAAGGGTTACTAATGTTCAGCTGGTAATGTGAAGCTTTTGACTGCAAAAGTCAAGACATAAACACGTCATTCGACTGGAGCCCAAATGCCAACTCTTTCGTGATTGCCGCATGTGTGATGAACTTTGAGTCCTCCCCCCCCCCCCCCCCGAGTCTCAAAGCTGCATTCCGTTAAGGATTGAAACAATGCTATAAAGGCCAGTGTCTTGCAAAGGTCGTTATGAAGATTTGGAAACTAATATCTAGCATCGATTAGACACAATTCGTGATTGTGAAGGTAAGTGAAATATTAGGTTGATGCAAAAATAATGGCCGCAGACTATGGTTTCTTAAAACTAAGAGTAACTTTTCTCGAGAATCGATGCAGATACCGGGCTGAAATTTCACGGTCATGCCTCCGAGGCTTTGTGGCATACGATACCAATGAAAGGGAAGGAGTCAGACAGCAGGTGCACAAATGAAAAAGAAATTGCTAAGAAATCGCTCGATGGGCTCCAGATACCCCTCTACAGAGTTAAGCATTACAGCACGCACTGTTCTGCATCATTCTAATGTATTATCAAAGAACATGAATGATCTTAGAGATATCGTTCTTATCTGCGGAATCTCTCTGAAAATTGTCGAGTGCTTGAGCCTGGTAATATGTAAGGCTAAGCTACGTAAGTAACCTTTGATTCAAGTGGCTTGGCTTCGGGAAGGCGGGGCTTTGTGACGCAATTAAGGCCGCTCGCGGCGACGCACCTGCGTCTCTTTCGCGCGAGTGCTCTGTGATCATTAGCTGACCTCAATTAGTTCACGAAGCCCCGCCTTCCCGAACCCAAGCTAGTTGAATCAAATGGTAGTCAGAGGCGCTGGTATGGGCACTCTTATGCGAATCATCACTGGTCGATATCATTTTGATTTAGCATATTTTATTTCGCGTGGAAATCAGTAGAAACAAAAGCTTCTTGCTACAAACTAAATTGTAACATTGTAAAGCTTCCCGGGATTTTACTGCATGATGTTGTCTGAGCTGATGCGCGCTGTATATCGGTGAAACGGGTACGCTGCGCGCGGAACAAGATAGACTGACTGATGTTCGGGGATATCGTTTGGCATCTTTTTTCGATAAGTAACGCGTCCTGAAGTGTTGCTCCATTGAACTTCATGTCGAAAACTCTCAATGCGCATCGATTTTACAACCTTACTTGACAACAAAACCAAAGAAACGAGCATAGAGTATAAAACATCGCTTAGCAACAACAAACTCGTTGACTCTGGCTACAAACGTTATTGAAACAAAAAATCACCATGCAACGACGAAAAAAAAGAATTTTACGCAAGCTCGAAATGAATTTGACGATGCCGCACTCTGCCGCAGTTGGCATGCTCAAGTTCTAATTTGTCGTCCTAGTGAGAAGAGGAGGACTACAATTGTAGAAAGTTATTCTCTGTTTTTCAACAAGTGCTTTAGCCAACATTAACATATAGCAAACAAAAACCAATTTCTTGCCCGTGACGGTGACTGTGTAAACTCAATCTTACATACTTTGCGGTTCGCTATGAGATCGGACAGAAGCCTTTTGTTGTTTAGTTTTTCGAAGAAATTGAACTTTAGTTGTTTCTTTGAGACATTCAGCAACAACCCTTTCAATTCAAGAAATGTCCCTCTGCATACATCGTTGCAATCGATTGGCTGTGACTCATATCCTGCCATTGCTTGGTTTTCTTATTTTCTCCACTTTGTCTTGTTGTCATATATCGAGCTCTTTTCTGATATAGACAATCATGTGTAGAAAAGTAAATCAAATGGCGCATAAATATAATCCTGGTCTTAATTTTTTTTTGATGTCCCCGAAGCCTTATATATTAGAGCGCGCATGTCGCAAATAATCTTGGTGCCGCTTCTAGAGCACAAACTCTATTTTGGATCCTGATGAAATCATTATTATATAGTGCATCATAACTGTGGGATTTTGGGAGTTTAGACTTTTTGAAAGAAAGTAAGAAATCGTCGGTGCTATGCGTAAGAGCATAGCCGAATATGTAAGCACCACAAGAATAAAAACTGATGAAAATTTGGGAACAATTGCAGAATATAAATTTTGTCCCGTTTATAATTATACGGACAACTCAAGCACAGCATCTTATTCGAAGAAAGCAGTCTTTTGCATTCAATTGTCTGCAACTTTACAGTCGCAAAGTCTGATTTTGCTGCAAGCTGAATATAGCGCAGATCGAACGGAAAAGGTCAGCATTTTTCCTCACAGATAGCTCAAAATGCTTCAAACTCAGTACGCTAAAAAATGTCTCTTCTTTGTCGGCTGAGGACTCTAATCAACTTGTATTTAAACTTGGAGATACAATATTCTTCCTTGATACTTGTATTGTTTGACGTCGGAAAATTCTGTCTTTTTGCTGCAGTTTTAGCCATCGTAGCGTTTTCCAAATCTCAGCTACCCTAAAGCTAGCAGACTCTTGAGCCTCAAAACTTGGCTTCTGCTCCTCGCGATACTTTGCGATTATGCTAGTGCATCGCTTGTATGATAATGTGTTATTGCTATAGTTTTTTCTGCAAAGCTAATCTCGAGGCTATGGAGCTAAAAGCAAAGAAAGCTATAGTCGAGGCATACAAATTCATTTTCGTGAGATGACGCCTGCGTAGTCGAAACAGATGCTCAGAGATGCAGGTTTTTTAGCTAAACACAGAATCTTACAAGCTTGCACATACTATCTTCTCAACTCACCACAAGATTTGTGGATAGCAGAAGCCGGCTTTGACGTTATATCACCTGTGTTTCTTTTCATCCGTCTCTTTTTTGGTACATGCGTCTTCTTCAGTTATGCCTTTACCATTATTCGGCAAATCGCACAAGTCGCCAGCAGATGTGGTAAAAAATTTGCAGGAAGCCCTCCTTGTTATTGAAACGGTAAATTTTTTGAAATTCTCTTTATTATTCATCACCTACTGGAGTTTCTTCAACATCATTATCCATCCAAGCCTATGCGAGTCCGAGAGCGTAATTTTGTGGGATTTATGGTTTTGCATAATGTTTTTTACTTTTCGCTACCTGAAAAGCACTGCACAAGTTCTGAAAAGTAGCTATGCGAGCGCTAGACATTTTAAACTTCCGCTCAGAAAAATTTGCGTTCGAAAGCATGTTATGTGCATGTTTTGGAGCGTCATCGGGAGGTTTTGCTGTATGAGGGAACTTGTTTCATATTAGTCACGTAAACCATGAAATCATCGGTGTTCGTCAACAAAGTTCTATTTTTGCAAGCTTTCCTTTTTCAGGAAGGCGGAAAAAGTGAAAAAGCTTTGAAGGAAGTCAGCAAATGGCTGCAGTCTACGAAAAACATCATTTACGGGTCAGAAACGGAAGAATTGACGAGTGAAGAAGTAACGTTTAACTTATATTCTTGAACCATTTGTATTTATTAATGCTTGCAAGGAAACCATGATTAGTCGAAGTGGCCTTCTTGAATGGGAACTATATAAGAGAGCATAAAACGCCGATTCCAGATCTGTCTTCTTCTCTGCGGAAAGTTTGTGGAAAGTCTTTTATTGGAGCAAAAAATTACATGTGCAAGTAGGACAAGAATTGTCGTAATGTTTTTTCTAGCTGCTTAATATAGCCGTGATAATAATCAGAGCAACTTATTCAATCAATACTCTAAGATAAAAAAAAACATATCACAGTTGGTTACTCTCTTTGAGGATTAAAAAGATTTTAGCAGCTCATTTTACTCTTAATTCACATTTAATATTTGCTTTAATAAACGTTCATGGCTCCTCGTCCACAAACATCCCGCAAATAATGAAAGCAGATTTGAAATCAGGCTCTAATGCCCTTTGATATGGCTTACATCCCATCTAAATGGCCACTTCGACTACACCTGGTTCCCTTATTAGTTTGCTCAACTATCTCAAGAGGTTTATGGTGCCGATATTATATCCATGCTTATTACAAATTTGCAAAAGCTTGACTTTGAGAGCAGGAAGGTGAGCAATGCTTGCTCTTTAGAGCGAAAAAAATTGGCAACATTTTTTTAGGATGTCGCTCAAATTTTCGGTAACCTTCTCCGCAGGCAAATTGGAACACGATCTCCAACTGTTGAATATCTTGCTGCACGTCCTGAAATACTAGTTTCACTTCTTACTGGGTGTGTTCGTATTTAGCTTTATTGTAGTTGTGCTGCTTTTCCAGTTACGAAAACGCTGACATCGCCATCGCTTGTGGCCAAATGCTCCGTGAATGTATTCGCCATGATCAATTAGCCAAGGTTAACTTGGCATCTGCAGCAGTTGCATAGTTACAAAACACTTCTTCCAGATACTACTGCAACATGAATTGTTCTACAATTTTTTCGAGTATGTAGACCTTCCCGCATTCGATATCGCCTCCGATGCTTTTGCTACATTCAAGGTAAATTTTATTGCCTCGTTGTTTGAAGTCTGATAACATACTAAAGGCAGTAACTTCTCTCAAAAGCACCGCGCGTTGCTTACCATGCTTACGGCATAAGAAAGCATGCATTTGCTAGATGTAGGGCATGATTTTTGCTCACTGAATGCATTTTGTTCCGTGCGTGATATTGGCTTGTAGTAAAGCTTGGTATGTTTGCGCAATCTAGACTGACTGGCCCCCTTAAGTTGGAAACAGAAGGTGAGCTTACAACCGCATAAGAGTTCATAAGAGTTCAACACACGTTTCAATTGGATTCTGCAGAAATAGTGTGTAAACGATGAAACTCAAAAAAAATTACGTAGTTTTTTTTTCGTAACTTACTGGCACCTATTTTTGACGTAGTATGAGACAGTAAATACGTAAAACTGCACAGTTTTGGGAACCTTCGGACGAGGAAGATTGATGAACAGCTAAAAGCGGCGACACAAACAGGTTATTATCTCTTTTTTGCAGGATTTGCTTGCTGTTTTCGAGAGCCGCACTGGTTGAGTATTTATCAAATTAGTAATTAAATATAACTTTTTTCGTAACTTGTCTTAATTAAATATAACTTTTTTCGTGACTTTTCTATCTTTGCATGTAGCATATTCAAATTCTGGCACTGTCTAAACTATGATGCGAACTACCAACACGGCAATTTCTTCCAAATTCTGGCAATGCGAGTAAGGACTACGATAGTTTATGGCAATGATTTCCATTTTCACCTTTCAATTCAGATCGTTTTAATTTCAGCTGAAAATTGGTCTAGGGGTTTTTCGAGCGCGATGAAAACCATAATTATGTGCAAGAAATGCATTTTTAATAAGGCCACAAAAATTTTAATTCGAAGGGTAGCGAGTATGATAGCGTGTTCAGCGTGTAGGATAGGACAATTATTGCAAAAACTTGCAGATTGTAAGACTTGACTGACTGGTTATTAACGGATGTAAGATCGATTTTGTGTTCAGCTACGTTGTTTAACTAGGGCGCTAAGTTTCGAGAAGCTTTCAACTACTATCGCTGTTTACAAAGCTTAATGAGCCACTGAAAGTAACTGCGCTACTTGCACTCACACCTACATAATGCTGAAGTTTGAGCGTGCACTATTTAACAAAAAAAAAGAGAAACTTATAGAGGAAGTTTCAAAACCCAGTTAACAACCTAATGTATTTATTTCATTATATTCATATTTTAGCAATTTTAGTTTATCGCTGAATTTCGCGTCTAGCTGCCTTCATGCTGATCCCGAAGTTCGGAAACAGTTCGAACACAGCGTTTATTTCGAGCGCTGTGTTGGAACTGTTCCCGAACTTTGGGATCAGTATGAACACAGCCTATAGTGCAATTTTGTTCTGCCCATTCATTCAGTAGGCAAAATTCATAATAGCGGCCATCATCGATTTTTCGATAGTGGCAGCTTTCAAAGACTGCTGAGCGATGCAGAAATGGTGTAACAAGACGGTGCTCGTTGTGCCAGTTGTATTGTCATTGTTCACCCATTTGATCACAGGTGCACAAATGTTGTTCCTTGTTTGGAAAAGGACCCTATAATGTATAGAAAATGATTCGCATTTTGATAGTTTGCTGGATGCGGAACTGAGCTACTTCAAGGTCAACTTGTATTTGCAGAGAGGCTGATGACGGGGTTTACTATTGCATTACGTCATTTCGAAAGTTTTCGTTTTCGATTTTTAGGCTCACTAAATTTTGCAGAACAAAGGCTATCCATTGTCTTGAAAGTGTTCAATGTTTTCCTTTTACTTAATGATCAAGATTTTTGATTCTCAACTGCTTTCAGGCAAGTTTACCACTCGTCATTCCACCATGCTCAAAATGCCGCTAATTTTTACTCGCTTTATTTCTCAAAAAAAAGATTTAGCTGCTGGTTTTCGGTACGCTTATGCATGCCAAACGCAGGAAGTCATTTGAGTAGACAATGATGAAACACCAAGAAGGTGATTTGGAAATTTGAATAACTGAAATAGCACAACTCACTATAGCAACTGTTATTTTCGCTTGAAAAAGCTAGATAATATTTTAAACTAGCTGGCTTACCCGACTCCGCCGTATGTTCCGAATAGAAAATTCCATTTCCCATACTTACTTACCCCCCTGTGCCAACTCCCAGCCCCGTACGTGAACTCTGCAAAGAAATCGATGAAAATCGATAAAATCGATATCGATCGATGACGAAAAGTAGCCTATGACACTCGCCGGGGCCCGAAGTGTTGTGTGCTAAGTTTGGTCCCGATCGGTTCAGAAATGGAATTTTCTATTCGGAACATACGTACACACAGACAGACATACATACATACATACAGACAGACAGACAGACAGACAAACAGACATTCAGCTTTATATATAAGATTGGCAGAGAACTTAAGCGCATTTGCAAGATCTTTCAAGAACCATGTCATTGAGATCGCCATGAACTAAAAAGTAGGCGTAATTTTTGCAAAAAGAAAAATTGAATTTATAGATATATGAGCTTTCCTATCGCTATTCTATAAGATCTGGTGATCAATTAAAAACAAGAAATCTCTGGTACAATAGTTGGCTTGTCCCCTTTTGTTGAAACTTAGGTATTACGTGAGTAGCTGTACTATGAGTCGAAAGGTGAGGCCGCAATAAAGAGCTTCACTGAACTTTGTATGGCATAAGAAATCGTATATCACACTTTCGGAACAATGATTTTTGTTCAAACGATTCTGCACCAAAGTCTAATTTCTTTTTTGCTTCGAATTAGTCAAATCAGCATGGACCTATAAAAACAAGCAAAGCTTTTTCATTTTCAAAAGTTGTTTTATGACAAAGACATCGTCGAGAAAACATCAGGCACATGGATTCTGTTTTTTGGAAAAAATTGTAGATCTAGATGTTCAGGACTCGGTAGCAGTGACACATATCGACCTTTTCTGGAAACTGCCCTTTTCTTTGAAAAAAGATAAGAAAAGAGACATTGGTATAAGAGAGCGAGAAGGAAAGGGATGAAATCTGTAATTTCTAATAATGAAAAAAAAATGGGAGCAGTACCGTTGAAAATGTGATCAAAAAAGCTGCAGCCCACTTTTTGAATGTATCATTCACCCATAGAAAGTGCTTAAGATTTTTCGATAATTTGTTATAGCTAGAGTACTGAACTGCGATGCGCACGATTGCAACAGAAATGATTCGCTAGCGTGGAATACTGAAAATTTCCATAGCGAGCTTCCTTGTAGATGGATATACGACCTTGAATCCATGTTATGTAGAGGAGCGAATAGTGCATTTACACTACAGGGATCCGCTTATGATAGTCTATAAGGCTTAAGAAAGGCGTCTTAGGTTACCCGTATTTTGAAAAAAAAATCAGAGATCTAAAACGCAGGTAACTATGACTCCTCCCTAAGGCCTCAGGCATACTCCACGCAATTTCAATCGCTGCACGATCTGGCACTGCAGCGACTCTTCGTAACTGGTCGTTAGCGCGCTTTGCATGGGCCAGACTTAAAGCTTTTGCTACAAATTTACGGTAGCTACGCGCCTATGCACTCACGATTGATCTGCAAATATATGGCAAACTGCCAAGTTGCGTGGACGTAGCGATTTGACGAAATCGCGCGAATGCCTTAGGCCTAAAGCGTGCCTCTTGGATGGTCGGTGTGACAACACTGCACTATCTTTTCAAAGTCAATCCTAGGCGCACTTCGCTTGCTCAAGACCTTTGCAATAACTTCCAAACGCTACGCGTTGAATTGTTGAGAAGCCGTGGACAGTAAATCTGTGCACAGCTGACATTTTCAAAGTATTGTGGATGTAAGAATTTAACGAAATCGCGGAAGGTATGCATCAGGCCTAAAAGTGCTGAGCAGTTGAGTCGCCGTGATCCTGACAGTGACGAGATAGAGTAATAATTTACTACATAGGGTTTTATCCATGAATCAGTTCAAATGCTACATTCAGGACCTAATTACTCGGCATTCATTGTGTGCTGAATTCTTGGAGGCTAATTACGATGCCTTTTTTGCCAAATATCAACAGTTGCTCGAATCAGATAACTATATTACAAGGCGCCAATCTCTCAAGGTTGCTAAACAAGACTCTCAATATTTCCACTTTGTCGTAGTTTGTTCCTCAGTTACTCGGAGAGTTGCTACTGGATCGTCATAATGTCAATATAATGAGTCGATACGTCTCTGATGTGGACAATCTGATACTGATGATGAAAATGCTTTGCGAAAAAGGTCGCAACATTCAATTTGAGGCGTTTCACGTGTTCAAGGTAAGCAAGAGCATTGGTACACCTTACAGCAGTATCTAACATGGTCCGGAAGGTGGGAAACCGGAAAAACGTTTGGTCATTGTTATGCTGTTAGAGCGCTTCTCTATTACAACGTAGTGTGCCCTGAAACTTAGGTTTGTAGTAAATACAGGGTGTCCCAAAAAATGTATCCACTGTTTGATTGTTAGTAGCTCTCTTAATATGAGGTTTTTCGAGAAGCGGTGGGCGCCATTTTGTAGAGCTGGCTTCAATTTAGATTTACAGTATAGAGCGAAACGTCCATCTTTCTCCGTTACTGTAGGATTACGGTAGAAACTTGAGAGAGGGTTTTGGGCCATGAAAAGCCATATTTTGCCTCAGAAAGGAATCAAGACAGCCTGAAAACTTTTACACTAGGTCAATTAGAGTTGCTGATTCTAACTGTAAAGTTCCCAACTTATTTTGATGCTTCATTGAAGAGTTATGCCAGGTAGGAGGTAGCGGCCATTTTTTCAATGTTCCTGAAAAATGCGGTTACACCGTTTAGAAAGCTTCGCAAGCTTGTGAATAGTCGAGTATTAAACTCAGCGTTTATAAAAACCCTATTACACAAGTTTCCACACTTTTTGGAAAATTTTGAAATGGCAGCTCTTTTTCCACATTGACACCATGGTCCGTAGTAATCCACCCTACCTGCCAGCATCTCATGCCCTGAAGTCGCCCTGATGTGGACTTGAGGTCCCTAAATCCTCAAACTGCCTCCGGGGATCCCCAAGCCAGGCTGATCATCTATTTTTTTATGTTACGGTCCAGTTTTGCTGTCGAAATAATATGGGAATTGAAAATAATCCAAAAAATATCCTCGTTTGCCATTTATTTGGCCCGAATTGTGAACCTGCCGGCAGGTTCACGATCTATTTTTGTCGAAATTTAAGATGCCATCTAGCTCGCAGCCTGCCGGCAGGTCAGAGAGTGCAGGAAATAGTGCGTAGTTTGTGGAGTGCGACCTGCCGGCATGTGGACGTGCCCCTACCACGTCCAGATGCCGGCATCTTTGCCGACGGCATGTGCGAAATTGCGTTGCGCGGCAATATCACACAATTTACGTCGGGCAGAAGGACCAGAAAAATTCATTTTCTATCAAAAACCCATGATTTTTACCACTATATGGGTTTTCCTTGTTTAAATTATTGATATATCTGTAGGAAAAATAAATGGTTATATCATATAACCAAAATGAGCGCCATCTTCTTCTTGCAATTCTTTCAAATCTTGTTTGCAACGCTTTCGCGTGCCTCTTGCTCTTATCAATCAGCTGTTCTTTCAGGTCAATGTCTATCACGCAATGTATTGATCCTGCGCTCTCACAGGCGCGACTTTCCTATGCGTTTTTGTCATTGCTGCCGCACACAGTCAAGAACTGACCGTGTGGTTGAATGTAGTGCTGCGGCGCTCAAAGTTGACGCATGCAGGTTCGAACGCGCCTGATGTTAGTGTTTTGCGGCTGCCTGCGCTACCAAAATTTCACGTGCATATGACAGCGGAGTACGGGATTTGGAAATTATCAGAACCTACGAACGATCAAGGCGAATAACATGTCAATCTCGAGAAGTATAAAAAAGGAGAGAAAAGCTTAATAAAAAGCGAGAATTCTAAAGCAAGATTTAGCTTGCGCCCTAAACACGAACATGCCGCGAGGTTCGCGAACTTGCGGGCTTTGATGCCACCTGGTAGGGTAGATTACTACGGGCCCATATGTTTCAAGTTCCTACCGTGTTCCTACAGAAAGAATGAGAGATCGGTGATTCCCTCTATATTGTAAATCTAAGTTAAGCCAGCTCTACAAAATAGCGCTTACCGCTTCTCGGAAGACTTCATAATAAGAGAGTTATTAACAATCAAACAGTGGATACATTTTTTTGGGACACCCTGTATATTAATCAGAGTACTTTCCTTGCACCACATTGAGTTTGCCTGCGCTGCTTCATACAAAGTATTCAAATCGACTATATAGTTATGGCACGACTTATCTATTTGATTTACTTCAACCTCTCTAAGAAAAAAAAACGCTGCATAACCGTTCTATCCAACGAAGAAGTTGTGGCTATTTTCAAGCAGATGGCACAAGCTAATAGCAATGATTTCAGATTTTTGTTGCTAGTCCCAACAAACCTCGGCCTGTTGTCGCCATTCTAACAAGGAATCGAGAGAAATTGGTCACTAATGTGTTGCTGTACATCGCGCTCAGCAACCCGTAAAAAGTCTGCGTTTTAAGCCTCCGCTGATTCAGATTGATTTCCTTGGTCAATTTCAAAATGAACGTACGGATGACGAGCAGTTCATTGAGGAGAAGGCATATTTGATAAAGCAGATCAGCGAAATGAAGTGAAAATGCCAGCGGAATACCAAACTTTATTGATAGTTTTAGTGAATAAAATTTTGTGGAAGACGGTAGAAAGACGCGTTTTGATCGTCTGTCATTGACTGAGAATCTCGAATTGTTTCTTCCAATCTCAATTACGTTAACCTTCTTTACACTTTTGATGTATCGACAAAATTTTGAGAATCTAAAAAGTCTGCTTTTGTGAAACGAGTTCAGTTTGCTAATGACAACTGCCTAAACGCACCTTTCGACATGCACCCAGTTTTTGTGATCAAGCTTGTAAATTATGGAGTCTGTTTTGATGTAATCAATCGTTTTGAAATCTCGAAGGTGAATGAAACATGTGCGTTTGTTTGTGTGAATATTTCGAATGACCTTTCCTATTCAATGTGAAGTGCTTTTAAAACACACTTGCGATCTATTTTAATCCTTTCATTTAAATGGGTTCTACACTCTTGCTGTGAGTAATAATATTGCAGGTAATAAACAGGTATCGATTTAGACATTTGAATTTTGAACCATGAGCCAACGCACGATAAACTGGATGTGTTATGACTATGTTCATAACTGCTAAGGCGAGTTCCAGATTGCACCTTCGGCACTTTGCAGTTGATTTATGCTAGACGCAGTTCTTCTATCAAACAGTATTTCCTTGGTAGTTTCCGTAAGAAGAAATTGATAAAGATGCAGCTGTTACTTGGAGCTCCGGTAGCTCCAAAAAATCTGGTCATACCAAACAAACGGTTTTCCTGTCTCGGGGCAATGACTTTAATGTCAATGTGCAAACGAAGTCAAGGCCCGTAGCACGTACATCTCCGCTGGGGAGGGGAGGGGATCTGAGAGGGGATGCGTCATCATACAGGGTGTCCCAAAAAGATGTGCACACTGTTTGATTGTTAATAACTCTCTTGCTTTCATGTCTTTTGCCGAGCTTGAGGTACCATTCTTTAGAGCGAGGTTCAACTTAGATTCACAGCATGGAGCGAATCATCTATTGCTCTTCATTACTGCAGCATTACGGTAGAAATTCTGAGGAGGATTTTAAGCCATTGAAAGCGGTATTTTGCCTCAGAAAGAAAGTTAAACAAGCCAGAAACTACTGAAGTGGATTAAACAAAGCTGGTGATTCTAGAAGTGAAAATTGCACGTCAATACACTGTTTCTTTTATGAGTTATTTTAGATTTAGGCTAACAACTGATTTTTTAGTGTTTGTTAGAAATATGAATGCGCCATTAAGAAAGCTCGAAAAACTGGTGGAAAGTTATGCAGTGAAATCAGCGCGTCTGAAAACCTTAATACATAAATTTTTAGATTTTTTCGAAATTGTTTCATCAAAGGCCAGGGCCCGGCACGAGGTCGGCAAATGACAAGCTGGAAATCGTTCTGGGGCCAAAAAGCAAAGGGGAAATCGTTTTTGCGGGGTCCGGGGCAGAGCCCCGGAAAAAAATTGGTAGTTCATGCTCGCTACTTATCTTGACATGTTATGTGCCTCAACAGGCGAACACTGGAGTTCGCGCGCGTCAAACCGCGCCGTCGCTAAGTGCCGCACGCGCGACGTCGCCCAAGCGATGCTATTTGTAACTGCATGCATGACTAGTTCTCAATGTGTGTGTAACGATATGGCACCAAATTTTGTGTGCGAACGGACAGAGGCTAGTGGAAACATAGTATGAAAAATTATGAAAAACTTATGTGAACGGAACGAGTAATTAGCATTTTTTCCGAGAATTTCGCAAAACTGGTAAATGAAAATGTGAATTTAAACGGCTCGTTTGGAAAGCGCAGATGAACGATATGGTATGAAACTTGGTAAGTACATGCACGCGGGCTTGCAGGACTTAACTGAGGAGTTTCATTGAGAAATTATGTGACTGAAGGTTATGGCAAACTTTTTTCTGGAAATTTTGCGCTACCAAAGAAATGGAAAAATGGCTCGTTTGCAACGTAGAGGTAACGAAATCGCGCGGACTTCGGTGTGTATATGCGCAATAGGACTAAGTAATAAAGTATGAAATATTATGAAAAACTTATGTGAATGAAGAGTTTCCTTAGCTTTTCTCCAAATTAGGTCGGCATTTGCCGACCTAATTCCCACCTGAGGTCGGCAAAACTCTCAATTCACATAATTTTCTCAAAATTTTTACATAAATCTGTTGTACACCTAAAGTTTACTACATGGTGAAATTTTGGTTTCGAAACTCCTCCTCTTGTCCTTGTTGGAGCCCAAAATGGCATCAGCAGCCCAGCTTTCTAAGATAGAAAGCGCGCCCCAGTCAATCGATACGCGCGGGAACGGCGTCTCTCATTCCTATGACTGCGTTTCTTCGATATTTTCTCATTCCCTAATCCTTTTTACTGCTTATTTTTTTTCCTGTTTCCTATCTTGGTACAGCAATTTGAGTAATATGAGGAATTTGAGCAATTTGGGCGCTTTTGAGCGCTTTTAGGCGAAGTGTGGCCGGTAATCTCGTCGCACAAGCACAAAACGTCATTTTTGGGCTCAAGGGAGTATTCGTAAAACTTACTGGGATCAAAGGGGTATTCGTTTTGGAAAACCCCGTTTGCCCACCTTGTGCCGGGCCCTGTCAAAGGCTTATTTCACAGTGACGCTGTATGCCGAAAATTCATACCTAATCCTACACTAGTGAATAGTGATCGGTGATTCGCTCTATACTGTAAATCTAAGTTTATCCTCGCTCTAAGAATGGTACCTCAAGAATGGCAAAAGACTTGAAAGCAAGAGAGTTATTAACGATCAAAAAGTGTGCACATCTTTTTGGGACACTCTGTATATCGCTACTCTATACATCTTTCTTCTTCTTTCTCTATCTTGCTTATAAAAATTCTCATGCACTTATAATTGCGCATAGTGAATGTCTGGTTACTTTCATACGAGACTGGTTTTTGCCATTTTGTGTGATCCTCTGGGGATCCCCTGGGGATCCTGTAGATATACTACGGCACTGCTAAAGATGTGTATAGTAGAAAAAAGTGAAATCTCAGAAAATCAAAATCTTCGATAATCCCTAGCTTGCGGAGGGATCATCGAAAAATTCATAATCTTCATATTTCATTTTATTCCATATTCCATTTATTCCATTTTCCTGTCGAAAACATGCTTAGCAGTGCCGTAATATATCCTCAGTACAATTTTGCAGCGTGTTCATTGACTTATTAGGAAGGTAGATCATTTTGAAGATGAGAGGTGATCACCTAGCGACCTCGGGGATCTCCTGGGGATCACACAAAATGGCAAAAAACCAATCTTGCATGGAAGTAATTTGACATCCCACTATGAGCAGTTATAAGTGCAGAGAAGTTTTATAAGCAAGATAGAGAAAGAAGAAGAAAGATACGTAGACTAGCGAAATATGACGCTCCCCTCTAAGATCCCCTCCCCTCTCCAGCGGGGATGTACGTGCATACAGGCCTAAATGATCAAAAAGGCAAGGCATGATATTCTGAAAAGACATTTTGCTCAAATATCTTTCGCATTTTCCTATGAAAGCACTAACTGGCTTACCCGGCTCCGCCGGCCCTGTCAAAAGACTATGATAGAGGTCCCATCCCTATCGCTGTACAACCTTTCCCTGTCCCCACTTCTACATGCCAATTCATTCCCGCTGTGTCAGTATTCGCTCACTTACCCCCCCCCCCCCCCTCCCCCTGTGCCAACTCCCAGCCCCGTAGCTTAAACTTTGCAAAAAATCGATAAAATCTATGAAATAATTCCAAAAGCTAATATGTTGTTCGTGATTAGCATGCTCACCTACCCACTGTGTCGACTCTTAGCCCCGTAGCTCGAACTTTGCAAAAAAATCGATAAAAATTGATAAAATCGATATTGATCGATAACGAGAATTAGCCTATGAGAGCTCCCCGCCCCGAAGTATATGTGTGCCGACTTTGGTCCAAATCGGTTTAGAAATAAGAATTTCTATTCCGCGCATACGTACACATATACAGACAGACATGCATACAAACAGACATTCAGCTTTATGTACAATATTGAATTGTGATAACTTTCTGAGTATGACCAGAACTGAGCAAAAGGCGGTCACATAGGGCTTTGCCCCCCCCCCCCCGTCTTAAAGGCACCGGTCCTCCCAGATATTCCATTTCCATGTTTTGATCGTTCCGGGGCCTTCTCATGTCCCTGATTCCGAATATGAAGTCGAGAATCCGCATAATTCCAACAATCCTCGTTGCAGAGAGCCCGCAAGCCGGCTTTTCGGAGCGGTGATTATCTGGGCGCGCACGAATGGGCGGGCATGGATGGGAAGGGCGGTGCAGTCTGAAGGTCCTCGTGTATCTTCGTAAATCCGGAGCGATTTTCTCGCTTCCGAAGCGACATTTGCGTTGCTACTTGGGCATTGGCTTGATAGGGTGCCCTGATAACATACAGGGTGCGCCAAAAGTATTTGCGTCAAATTTGCATGAGTGCTGCAAAAAAACTACCCATAGTTTTGATTTCAAAATTTATGTGTTAAATGCTGCAATAATCCTCCACAAAATAGCGTTTTGAGCCTAAGGTGGTTGCCATACTTTTGTGCAAATAATGAAGTTGTCGAACCAATACTTTTGGAGGGCGCAAAAACCTAATTTTTCGGTAGTTATAATTCATTCCGTAGCTGAAGATTTTTGAGACATTTTCAAGGGATTTTATGTCCACAGTGTAGAGGAGGCTTTGCGCTATCGAGTTGTAGTACTTGTGTTCGCCAACAATTATTATTCCAAAAATGGCAACAAAAAGTACTCAAATGCCACCCGCGTGTCAGTGGTCGTTTTGTTTTCAAATCACATTTGTAAGCTACAGAAACGTGCCTGTCACCGGCTTCAATGCTATAGTGCTTTCCAAGGCTTCTAGATAACTATTCAGTTTTTTTCCACTAATGAAATTGAACTCCAACCTGATTTGGAGTCAATTTTTGCTTTTTTTTCGCACATTCGCACCGCTAAAATGTGCATTTATTGAGCATGTAGCAAACACATGACTTTGTTTAGACGCCGATAATTTTCTTGTCAGACCGTCCTAGATATTGCGCTTACAGTATGTTGCAGCCGAAAACTTGCTCTATCATGTGGTGTGTTCCTTGCATCATAGGAGCATTTTTCTATAAAGAAGCAGAAGATTCTTTGAAAAAATACCTGCGTGTTGCGAGCAAGTTACTCAGTAAAATATTTTTTGATTTTTCTCAAGCCACACTTAGAAATTCCAATTCATGCTATAGCGTCTTAATGATAAAACGTTACCGAAACAAATAGCTTTTTGCCTGTCGCTGATCTCGTCTTGTACGAGTTTTGCGTTACAGAATACACGCGCAAATAATTCTGGCGCACTCTGTATGCTGCTAAAAGCTCAAGGACCTCAACTTAGGATGTACGGTGCCTTTAGCTTATTGGCTTCAGCCTCTAGTCAACAAGTCGTTGCTGCTAACAATATGTTGAAGGCACAGTCCGTCCTAAATTAGCTGTCTTGAGCAAATCACAAGTTAAAGGTTTAATGTTGTCTTTTTTAGAAGAAATTATTTTCGATGAATTGTTATGTAAAGAGCAAGATTGAGCAATTTCATCGATTAGGAAAAAAATATATCAGCGGTTGCACAGTTGGATAGATTCTCCATCAAATATAGTGTGCATTATAGTTAGAACCGAATATTCGTGTTCGAATAATTTATTCGAAATATTCGACTATTCGAATATTCGAATAGTCGAATATTCGAAAAAGTCCAATTATTCGATTATTCGAATAGTCGAAGAAATGAAAAAGGCCTGTATTCGAATAATTCGTTCATTCGATGATTTTGATAAATGACTTATTCGAATATTCGTTTATTCGAGGAATCTTAAAAGATAGTTATTCGAATATTCGAATATTCGAGCCAACTTGAAAGACAGTTATTCGAATATTCGAACATTTGAAAACATTCATTCGAACATTCCATGTCAAAAGAAAACTTCAGCTGCTTCTACACTGAGTAAAATATGTCTCGATCGGTCAATCTCACAAATGAATTATCATATGACAGAATGGCTAGCAAGCTTCCCTTTTTGAAGCATGAGTCGCGAATCATGCTAGAGCATAGTGATGACAAGTCTTATGCATAATTTATTTGGAGTGGTGAACTATCTTTTGAGAATCGCGTCGGAAGTTGAGATGCGATATCATGCCAAATACCTACAAGCTCTAAATTAAGTGAAGAAAAGCCGTCATTAGGCACCCTTTAGCGGAAAGTGGTCCTCAAAGAGCTTGCATAAGCATGTGAAAAACCAGCAGTCCTTTAAGGCAGCAGGTATAGGCAACATTCTTTCCTTCATCTTGAGATCTTTACTTGCCTTGCCAGCCTAATCACCACTCGCATGTCAAAATACCTAAAAGATACCTTACAACGCAAGGCCAGAGCAAGGGGGTCGTGAGGACCTGAGCCGCTTGAATTGTAGCGGCAGCCTGTATATCAGTCACTATACTCAAATCCGCTGCCCTTGTAGTCCGAAGGCGTAGAAAACTAGTGTTAGAATGTTGCAAAGTTCGTAGAGGAATAATTCTTCGAGTAGGTTGAACAGTAAGTATTTTGAAACTGAGTAAAAGATTTGGAAGATCCCTTACAACAAAAGTACAAACCTCAAAAATACAACTAAAACAACTGTGTGAGAATTCAATCCTACAGCAGAAACTGTGAAACAAATTAGAAGAAGATAGCAAATTAAGAAAATTCAAAAATATTACCTTGTAGTCCGAGAATTGCTCTATCTGATCCATACTTAGTCCTTTCAACTTTGTAATAAGATTTAAAAAAAGTAGCCTCACTTTGAGCAGATAAAATTGACGGATGGAGAATTTTGGCAATTATCAAAGAAAGCATACAAGATTGTGGTTCGAAAATGTATTTTTAGAAAGAGAATGAAAAGCTGCCTCGAATGCATGTTAAAACTCATTCAAATCTTTATTGTGCGTGGTTTATAGTGGTATGAAAAAACGGACAAAACTTTCGGGACAGCAGCAGAGGTTCACTAATTTTATTGTAGGCCTTCCTCGTGCTCCCCCAGTGCTAGTCTTAAAACTCACGCAATGCTGACCATCACGAATAAATTACAAACAATTATTTAATTTGAAAGTTTTCCATGTTAAATCTTTAGCTTTGGGAAAAAGTTCTGTGTAGCTTCGGGAGAAACTTCTGTGAGGAAGAATAAATGCGGACTTGAAACGATTACTAAGTAAGGCTAAGTAGCCATCTCAAAAAACCATGAACACCTTGAACTACATGTTTGAGTGAAATTCTTCTGTTTACTATTTGGAACCCTGACCGAAGACAATAACCCAGTCATCCTACCACTTGCTACACATGTTATCAGCTACAAATCTAGATCAAATATAACGATTAACCTTTTTTGCAGAAAACCGCAACAAAGGAAAAACCAACATTGTTTGAGGCACTAGATTATTCGAAATCCTACTCTATATAAAGCGCAAGCACCCCCATGTGAGTCAGCGCGTCTGTATGTCCACGTAAACATGTCTGTATATGCGCCCCAAAGAGCGATCAAGAAGTGATCCTTGGCATTCGCCAGACGGCCATATACTGCGTAAACAACTGATGCCGACTCCAAAGAGCGATCAAGAAGTGATCTTTGGCATTCGCCAGGCCATATATACGCAAACATTTAAAAGCTTCCAGAAAATTCAAGACGGTAACATGGTTGTGGGTACAAAAGTACAGTCTAACATGTTGACTGATCAGTCTCTCTCTACATTATTCCAGTTAGGCTTCCAAACCATCGACGCACACGATTTCAAATTTGTCAGAATCTTCTGCCGATTTGCTACAGTTTTTTGACTCACGATTTCAAATTTGTCAGAATCTTCTGCCGATTTGCTACAGTTTTTTCACTTGCTCTGGCATCAACGCGCACCAATTAATGTTTCAATTTCGCTTTCAAAATGACATACAAATTCAACAAATGTATGTTAAGGTTTTGAGTGCAAAAGTCAATGTTTTGATCCTTGCTTCGTCAACCGAATTCATGCAATTAAGCAAATCGAAAAAAGTCTGCGTTCATTTCAGTTGAATTTTTGGCCCCTTTTGCTCTATTTTTTTTTCAATTTTATGCTTTCTAGGAACTCCCATTTGCAAAATGCTTCTTGGCCGTTGCACTACCGTGTAAATCAATTCTGTCATATGTTTCAAACAATTAACCTGCATCGATTATTAGGTTTTAAATCAAATTATCTATGGTGTTTTCTGCAAGTATGCTTCTACAAAGATTTGTTCTCTGTGTAAAGCTGGACTTTTGAACTTATATAATAGTGATAACATAGATTCTACGAGGGCTAGGTCCTTGCCACGTGTCACAAAAATTGACAGATTGTGTTCTATTTTGACATGTTTCTTTCGAAATCACTTTCGCTGGGGAAGAGTATTCGTAATCACCTAAGAGCTGTTTTTCAAAAAGCAACAATCCTGGACTTACTTTAAAACATCTTCATTGCCTTCAGCAGGGATTTGAAAAATGCTATTTTCCTCTTCGAACCTTTTGTGTACTCAACCAGAAAGGAAGATGATGGTTTGAAAAACCCTGCTGCTGCTGCTGCTGCTGCTACTGCTTATGTCGCCTGAACGACGGAATTCTAGCGCAATTTTCTATTCTGAGCAAGTCTAATCTGTTCATCGTTAAATGTTTTGAGACATCCACATCACTCTGCCGATTCTTTTTTTTGAAGAAGAAAAAGAAGAAGAAGAAGCTAAATAAAACAATCTGTGTGCTTCAATAATAGCTAGGTTCCATTTCGAGATACGATAAACAATAGAATTGCGAATGGAGTTTCTTCAATTTAGGCAGACTTCGCTGGAACGGATCCTAGGTTTTGAATGCGCGTCCATATTCGCATATGCACTTTTAAACTTCTCGAATATTGTACCAATCTGGAACCAAATGTTGATTGATTCCATATTGTGCAATTGTTCACATTGGTTGACTCCAGTATCAGTACTCCAGTATCAGTAGATGAAAGAACAGTATTTGCAGTCTTTGAGAAATGAGGGGCACCAGGTTTCAGCTTTTGACTTAGCGAAAACATTCGCTGGACGGCTGCATATTCACTGAGGCATGGTCATCAATGTACTCTATGCAGTCGGGTTCATTGTGAAAGATGCTGTGTAGAAAATGCTTAAAGAACTTAGCATATAGAGGCGATTTGAAACCACTTCTTCTTCACAAGTAAACGCCGAATACTTCAAGCTTTTAATCCTATTTATGTGCCGATTCACATCACCTTTTAAGTAGGTGACGTTTCGTAACTCTACGCGTATCGTACACTGCTTATTTCGCTACAAGTTGTGCTACAGATGAATACGCATTTCTCAAATACTGAAGGAGCAACACCGGCTTTTGAACAAGATCTGGCAATAAACACCGTTGACACATACAATTCATTGAGTTCCTCGCATACCCAGGCCTTATCTGGCGAGCTTGAGGAAAGTCAACAATGCTCTCCTTCGAATGCCGCCTACCTAGATGAAAACGAAATGGTGAACAGTTTACAACATACAAATTCCTTTTTGATAGAAGCAATTAGAATTATGACTTTAGCTTGCGTCGAACTCATCGAGTGAAATTCAGCAAGAAAATGATGCGGACTTAGCAGCTCCGCGAAGTTCTGAAACTCATGCTGACAGACGCCGACAACGTCTAGCGGCGCATGCCAAACGAGCAGCATCTGAAAGAGCCAGTGAGACTGATCACGAGCGTAGGTTACGACTTGCAGCTCTAGCTAAGAGGGCTAAGCTCAAAAGATCAGTTGAATCTGAAGAGGAGAAGTCAGTCCGTCTCGCGAAAGATGCGGAAAGGGCGAGAGCAAGACGATCCGCTGTGCTAAAAGAACGAACTAGAATTACCAAGAGCGATAAGATCGAGCAGAATTCCCAAGAAAGTTCGGTACAGCACGACCGTGGAGAAGGCTATGTACATAGTCAATTTCCAAGCACATCTCGTGCTTATGGATTGGAAGCTTTGGTAAGATTGCACTTTCAGTGGTTTCACTAATTCGCATGTTTTCTATGTAGGACAGCCAACAATTACCACTCTCGCACTACTTCGAAGCCACCACTGCGGTTGCTTCGATTGATACTCAACTAATGGTTAGCCTGTCATTTGTTGGAATTCCTTATTGATCATTATCATGATTTAGTCTGACCCAAACGGGCAGAATAGAGGAAATTCAAACGAACCTCGCATATCCGAGGTTCTGATTTCCGGTACACAAGAATACCATGGGGAATCAGGACAACTCACCGCCACAGACTTACTCAGCACTACTGAGCAGTCAGGTTGTCGACTTGAAGAGACTGATCATGAACACCAATCACGTCTTGCGATTGATGCGAGACGAGTGGCGTCTAAGAGATCTAGTGAAACTGAAGATGAACGGAAACATCGCCTTGCCTCATTGGTGGAAAGGGCTAGATTGAAACGATTACTGGAAAATGAACAGGAAAGGTCAAAACGCCTTGCGAATGATGCAAAAAGGGCGAGAACAAGAAGAATGGTTGAAGTGGAGAGACGATCAGATGCAAGTTCAGTAGCCAGAATAATTCAAGATCCGCTCGAATCTGATCAAACGGTATTTTATCTTGAAACCATACTTCTTGGGCAACCGTATTTTTTAAGCTAAATAACCATGAAGTTCTCTCGCATCACAACGAGAACGAGGAGTTGAGAGAAGAAGCGGTTACTCAGGTATATCGAATAAATAACCACTCTGTTTTGCGAAGCATTTGAGCATTAACTTGCAGATGAGTTCACTTGGAAATGTGCATTTGCAGCGAAGAACACCCGCTAATCTTGGTATAGCGCTAAGTATGAATGTCACAGAAGAGAACTATCTAGGACGCCTAAACGTCAGGTGCGCTCACTGTGGAGCTCTGTACTTTCCTGGCGAGGGTACATCTGTCAATGGACGTTTTAATGTTTGCTGTAACTTTGGAAATGTTTCTCTGGATTTGTTTTCTGATTTTCCCGAGCTCTTCCGGTCATTTTACCTTGGAACTAGCCAACTTTGCAAAAATTTTCGCAGTCACATCCGCTCATTTAATAGCGCACTTGCTATGGCTTCGATGGGGGCTCAAGTGGATACGCCACGTGGTGCTGGACCATACTGTTACAGGATTCACGGACAAGTGTATCATTATGTAGGTCCCATTACACCAGAGCCAGGTGTTCGTCGACAATTTGGACAAGTGTATATACTAGACACTGATGACGCAGCCGCTGAAAGAAGCGGAAATCCGCTGAATGCACAGTGTGATGCCACCGTAATGCAGCAACTGACATTATGGTTGCATTCGAACAATAGTTATGCGGCTTCATTGAAAATGATGGGTGATGTAGCTGCAGAGGAAGAGCGTCGAGCCCTTAGGGAGAACAGGCAAGTGCCAACAATCCGAATGGTTTTTCATGATGCCCGGAACGTAGATCATCGTCGCTACAATGTTCCCGTTGCCAACGAAGTTGCCGTTGTCTATGTAGGCGAGGACGATGATGTACCAGCAAGTCGCTCCTTTGCCATTCATCATAAAGGAGGTACTCTGCAGACCATTCGAGACATCGATGCCTGCTGTGATCCGTTGACTTATCCCCTGCTATTCCCTAGGGGAGGAAAAGGGTGGCACGTTGATCTGAAAAAGAATCCTAGCTTTCGCATTCGCACGAGAATATCACAACGCGAGTACTACTCCAACATGCTAGCTGTACGTCATTCCTTCAATCCGCTTCACCATGCTGGAAAACTTATGCAGCAATTTGTGGTCGATGCATACGTTAAAATAGAGCAGAATCGGCTTAATTATACCCGGACTCATCAAAAAGAACTTCGAATTGATAGTTATAAAGGTCTTACAGATCATCTGGCCAGTGATGGTGTAGACGGGCCTCCGGGACAGCGTATAATTTTACCTTCTTCATTTCGTGGGAGCCCACGTGCTATGCATCAATCTTATCAAGACGCGATGGCTATTGTTGCAAGGTACGGAAAACCCGATTACTTTCTTACCTTTACTTGCAACCCTCAATGGAGGGAAATCGCCGAAAACCTGTACCCTGGCCAGTCCGCTTCAGACCGACCCGATTTGGTGACTCGCGTGTTCCATCAAAAGCTAGAAGTGCTGCAGAAATATCTTTTCGAGAAAAAAATTCTGGGATGTGTTGCAGCTTATGTGGGGATCGTAGAGTGGCAAAAGCGAGGCCTTCCTCACTGCCATATGCTTCTGATAATGGCAGCAGATGCGAAGCCAAGGACCCCTGAGGCTGTTAATGCAGCTGTTCAGGCATATCTTCCCAGCAGTTCCGAAGATCCACGTCTTCTGAGCATAGTCGCGCGAAATATGATTCACCGTCGATGTGGAGCAACCAATCCGACTGCTCCATGCATGGTAAATGGGGAGTGCTCAAAGCGTTATCCTAAGGAGTTTCGGGAAACAACGGATATCGATGTCGATGGTTACCCTAAATACAAAAGACCTGACGACGGCCGCACCGTAACGAGTGGAGTCGAGGTGTATGATAACAGACATGTTGTGCCCTATAACCGATTCCTCCTTCTCCTCCTCAATGCGCACATAAATTTGGAAATCTGCGGCTACATACATGCAGTCAAGTACCTATATAAATATGTATACAAAGGACCAGATCGAGCATCTTTACGTCTACTTCAACAGGGTCAAGCGCAACGAACTGACGAGATTCGGGCTCATCTCGATGCACGATATATGTGCTCACCGGAAGCACTTCATCACATTTTTATGTTTGAATGTCAATACAAATCTGCTGCTGTATACCGTCTGGCTGTCCACCTCCCCGACTTCCAGTCGGTCACGTTTCGATCAGGTGAAGAACGTGAGGCGGCTGTACGTGAGGCAACTAGAGATTCCATGTTAACAGCATGGTTTAAATTGAATGAAGAGTATGATCTTATGGAAAGCGAAAATGGAGTAGCTGGACTTCTGGATCCTCGAACGCTCTATTATCATCAGCTGCCAGAACATTTTACGTTTGGTAAAGAAAGAAAGTGGAGTAGAAGAAAGAGGGGCAGTCGCCAAATTGGTCGCATGTACATGGTCACACCCACTGATCCAGAGAGATTCAGTTTACGTATTTTATTACTTAACCGGAAGAACATGCGTTCTTTCGAAGATCTCCGCACAGTCGAAGGTAATGTGCATTCAACATTTTTGGATGCAGCGCGCGCTTTGGGACTGTTGCATGACGATTCCCACTATGAAAGTTGCTTAGAAGAGGCAGTTCACTTTCAGATGCCTGCGGAATTGCGGGCGTTATTCACTTACATGCTGGCTTTTTGTGAAACGTCTAATCCAAGGCATTTATATGACCGCTTCAAAAGTTATATGGCCGAAGATTTTATTCACAAAGGATATACAGTTGCTGAAGCTGAAGCACTCGCATACTTCGAGCTTTACGATAAATTGCAACTTTTACGCTACGATCTTTCGGTCACAGTCACGCCACCCTCACAAAATAGGCCCGTTTTGGCGGATCACACTCATTACGCTTTCCACGAGCGGAAAGGCAGTGAGATGTACGAGCACCTCAATGAGCAGCAGAGGTTAACAGCAGATGATATCTTGGCATCTTTTGAAAATGACCGTTCCAAGCTGCATTTTGTTGATGGTCCCGGCGGTAGCGGAAAGACCTATCTTTATAATGCCGTTTACCACATCTTGAAGGGCCAACACAAACGTGTCATATGTGTAGCATGGACTGGCATAGCTGCAAACTTATTGCCTGAAGGTAGAACACTCAGTTCGACTTTCAAGCTCAACATGAAGTCCGGAAATCGTCAGTGCTCATTACGACGTGAAGACAAGGATGCCGTCCCACTCAAAGAAGCAGATGTTATTATTTGTGACGAAGTGAGCATGGTTTCGAAGTCCTCACTCGAAGCTATTGATCTTTTTCTGAAGGATTTGATGTGCAATAAAGCACCTTTTGGTGGGAAAACAGTCGTATTGGGTGGTGATTTTCGGCAAGTGCTGCCAATTGTAGAGCGAGGAAGCGAAGGAGATATGATTGATGCATGTGTAAAGAACAGCGACCTGTGGAGCTGCTTCACTATGCATCGGCTCTCTGTCAATATTAGAGCTGCAGAATCTGGCTCAACTTGGTGTGATCTTTTGATGCGGATTGGGAACGGAACAGCAGAAGAAGATGAAATGGGCCGCATAGAGCTTCCAGCTGAAATCCTCTCTAAAGGCGATCTTATCAGTGAAGTATTCGGTGATTTGTTGACTGATTTTAATACCTTGAGTGAACGAGCAATACTAGCACCTCGGAATATCGAAGCATATCGGATCAATGAAGAAGCACTGGGGAAACTCCCCGGACGAATTTACGAGTATAAGAGCGTTGACGATGTGATTAGCGATGAACCACAGAACGAATATACGACCGAATTTCTCAACAGCTTAGCACCTGCTGGGATGCCTCCTCATAATCTTCGGATGAAAGAGGGCTCGATAGTCATGCTTTTGAGAAATCTCGATATTAGAAATGGGCTATGCAATGGGACAAGACTGATCGTCACTCATTTTGGGCGTTTTATCCTAGGATGTCGGTTCGCATCAGGGGATAGGAAAGGAAAATTAGTGCTGATACCACGCATAGACATCTTCACTGAAGTAGGAGTACCTTTCCGATTGCGAAGAAGACAATTCCCTGTCCGTTTATCATTCGCTATGACGATAAATAAGGCTCAAGGACAGACCTTCACTAGCGTGGGCATCTCCCTTGAGTCTGAGGTATTTTCGCACGGTCAGCTATATGTGGCCCTATCTAGAGCCCGACGAATGGAAGGAATTAGAGTCCACAAAAAGGAGGAAAGAGTGAAAAATGTTGTGATCAGAGCGGTTCTCAACTGATAACAGTTATCTGTATAGAAGTACTCCTTACAAATAGGCCGAGATGTTATGGCTCCTACAAATGAAATGTGCCTTAGTATGAGACAACTTTGGTTTGACGCGTGCTATAATTGTTCGCTCTATCCGCTCCACTCATTTCGCTCCAAGCAACACGAGTTTTTACTAAATCATCAATTGCGGAGTGGATGGATTGGATAGTAGCGTATCCCACTGAAATGAGCACCTGCCTTGGCCATAAAAAA